GATTGCTCCCTTTTCTTTCCGGCGTATTGTAGAATCTGCCGGCTCTGGAGACAGCAACAGCGAGCTCAGCATGCGCTTGGACAGCCCTACGCCGATGGCCCAGCGCTTTCTCCTCCTCGCCGAGACACCGACCCCGCATGCGGGCAGCGTGGCGATGCTCACCTTTGGCACGCAAGACCCGCATGGCTTGCCGATTTGCACGAGCCGCGACAGCACGAGCCTCGTGGCGACAACGACCCAGTGCTTCGTCGTGCTTGCCGACTCTAGCGCCACCGTTGACCAGCCGACGATCACCTTTGGTACGCTTGCACCGTGCCGCCTGCGCGACCCTCTCGTCGACCTCGATCAGGATGGCTCGTATGCGTTGCGACAAGGCGATGACAACATGCCCTGTCTGGCACCCACAGTCACCTTTGGCACACTCGAGCCTTGTCCCTTGTACGAGCCTGCGGTCGGCTTTGGGGCAGGTAGTCGTTACGTGTCGTACCCAGCCTTTCCGCGCTCGGTGGCCAACCCGCATACACGTGCGCCGAGCAAGCAAACGCTTACTTTTGGGACGCAAGACCCATGCTGCCTGTGTCTCGACGGTCTGTCCATGGGCGCCTTCCACGCCGGCATGTCGACAGAAGGGCCAGCTACGCCAGCCGCCCCCGTCGACTCCCTCAACTCGCAGCCAGCGCACTGTCTCTCTACCGATGACCGTCGTGACGACTCGACTCGAGCCCGGCCCGGTCACATAAAGGCCAACGGGCCATGGAAGCTCGCCAGTCGCGTCCTCGCAGTCGTCAAGTCTGTCATCACGTCCTTTGAAGCTATCCGTGCGACAACAACCAACGCTCCCCACGGTCACGACCTCGGCACGTGGATCGAGACGCTTTCGACGCTGCACGCTGAGCTGTCGCTGCACCCGTGGCGCTTGAGCACATACGTACCAACGCTGGTGCTTCTCCAGACGGAGCTCAACGGCCGCACCGAGCTTTGCGAGGACGGGTCATTGACGATCCTCGACAACCACGCTTCGATGCTCAAGGCCCTCCGGCGCCGCTACCCTCGCCTGCGCTGCTTCCGTTCTCAGCCCAAGCCATAATGGCATGAGGAGGAGAACGACAAGTGTGCGGATAACGATGCTGTAAGCCATGCGATAATAGCTTGGCTAAGACATCGCGTTTTCAAAATACCCGGCCAACTATATATAATAACGCATCATCGGTCCCATCGACATCATCCACGAGTTGCCCGACACACTGCGCCTGTCTGCTCCTCGATGCTCGCTCCTCACTTATCCTTATATGTGCTTTTGCGACAATAGTATCATGCAGGTTGGCTGGCGACGACTTGGTTAGAACGCGTCGGCGGTCGCGACCCTCGGCGCGGCAGTCGAGTCCTTGTACTACAAGCTGCTACGGGTATGGCAAATGACGGCACCGCTTTAGGTCGATCCAGGGTGCGATCTTCAACGTCTCAGGCCTGTACCTGCCCCGGCCTTAAAGAAATCTGTGCGCCGCGTGTCGTCTACCTCGGGCTACTGACCATCCAACTAGGTCGTTTGAGGATTCGGTTGTGGTCGACAACAACTGACCACGGCTCATCAACGAACGCGTTGCGTTCTGGTCGCCCAACCTCACCCACATGTGCGTTGATGCTGTTGTTGGTGTTGCTTTGGGTGCCACTCGTCCAGCTCGCTGAGAATCAACGGACTGCTCTCGTCTGCGGATGCCACGCCCATGGCATGGCCAAACAGTCTCGTTTACTTGTGCGCCTCCTGCTTCTTCTTTGCTTCTCGTGTAGGGACCTTTCGCTCGACTTGATCGAGACGTTTGAGCACTTGCCCTGTGTTCCCACACTGTTCGACGTCCGCGACTGCATGCGTGACGAGATGCGTTCGTGGAGCGTAGGTCTTGGCCGAGCTCGAGACGCATGCAATGCCACACGCAGACTTGACCAATGTGCGCGGCGAGCCGCTGGGCAACGTTGCCATCATGTACAAGGCTCGAACCTCGTCCTTGTCCGAAGTTCTTGAAACCCATGGCTTTCTACTAGGTCACGCAGGGCAAGATTGCACCCGCGTTGTCCTCCGATTGCCAAGCCTGGCGCGAGACGAACTTGCTGCCCACAACCCAGCGCTTCAACTGACGGCGAACGAGATCGTTGCCACTCTGGACGAGCTTTTTCTATCCATGTGTGTGACATGTGTAGGACAACTTGTCCAACGGGCTCCGTGTGGCGTCTTCGTCGTCTAGCGCCGTTTCCAGGTCTGCTTTCGACCCAACGCTCGCTACCAGTGCTGCCGACGTATGCGGATATCCGGATACGGCACTTGGATCCCAAGCGTCATTTCGCGAAAGGCCAAGTCGGAGCGGGAGGCAGAGGTGCTCATAATCGGCGGTCGTCGCATCATCAGTGCGGGTAGATGTAGTGATCGATAGCAGTCGTACTTCAATGGTTAGTCGAGGTTAGTGTGCAAAGGATGATCCAATTTATGCGTGTCAAATGACATGGCGCTACGCCATGCTTGATATGAAGCTACGGTTCTGAAGCACGACCAGCGACCGCCAACGAGAGATATAACGGGCGGCGGAATAGACTTGGCCGGCCCACGCGCCGGCCAGCGAAGGCCACCGACGATCCGGCGGCTGATTCGCACTGCGTTCTAGATATGACGCAACTCTGCGATTCAGAACTTGCAGCTTACCAAGTAGTTAGTAGTAGCTCGGACCAAGTTTTGCATTGCAGGAAGCTCAGAAAGAAGCTCCGTGGTCGTCGCGATAAGCACCAAGATGTAGAGCAGCTTGCTCGGGTACTTGCGCAAGGAAGCGCTTGGCCGAGGCGCAGCTGATCCTGCTCGACGATTGCCCTCCAGCTGGTGTTGCCTGGAATCCATCCCGATCAAATCCCTCCCATCCGCAACGATGACACCATGCCCCGTCTTTGACGAAAAGAGGGTCCCAAAACCCCCATCTTTCGATGCAAAGCTCTGCGCCACATCTCTTGGACGTGGCTGCTACGCGTGGTTTGTATCTGACATCCCGCGTCGATAGATTGCCATTAGGAGACTTATCTTGACAATAAAGGGTATATTTGTGGAATTCTGCACTTTATGTGGTATTTTAGACCGAAAAGAGAGATACCGCGACAAAGCGCCGGTTGAAGCCGCGTCTTTGCAACGATTTATGATGCAGCATCGTAAATAGTGTAGAATGCTTGCACCCACCGCAGCTTTCAATTTCAAATAGTGTGTTGTCGTGCGCGTCGTCGGTCAAAGCGGTGTAGGCTGTCCTTTACTCCTATCACTCTACGGGCAGGCGTTGGGTGTCGATCTGCACGTTGCTATGCAGACGCTCGTCGTGGTCCACGCTAGCGACATCCCGTTGCGTTTCGAGATGCAAAGAACGCTCCCGAAGGTTACGGACCAGGCCCATGTCAGATTGCGTAAATGCGATCTGACCGCGGTGGCATGGCCTGCGTGTACCGGTGCACGGGGCGTAGGACTCGATCGTGCTGCAGGCCACGCCATGTCGGGTGTCGTTCGGGCTGGCGTGCCGGGCGTGGCAGCGACCAAAGGCCTACGCTTACACTATAATCGACTTTATCACACTATATACGGATGGATCGGGCCCAACCAGTGGTTACGAGGCTGTGTATACTGGGGCTATGGTCGCGGCCACTTTGAGATTCTCGAATTCGCTTGAGCTCATGCTGCGCCAACTCGCCCGTCGCATCCCGTCGTCTGTCCGTGGCATGGCCACGTTCGACCGCACCAAGCCCCATCTCAACGTGGGCACGATCGGCCACGTCGATCACGGCAAGACGACGCTCACGGCGGCCATCACGCGCGTGCTCTCGGAGCAGGGTGGCGGCAAGTTCATTGCCTTTGAGGATATTGACAAGGCGCCCGAGGAGCGCGCTCGTGGTATCACGATCTCGACGTCGCACGTCGAGTACGAGACGGACAAGCGCCACTACGCCCACGTCGACTGCCCCGGTCACGCCGATTACGTCAAGAACATGATCACGGGCGCTGCGCAGATGGACGGCGGCATCTTGGTCGTCTCGGCCACGGATGGCCCGATGCCCCAGACGCGCGAGCACATCCTTTTGGCCCGCCAGGTCGGTGTCCCCGCCCTTGTCGTCTTCCTGAACAAGGTACGCTGCATCATCACTTCAAATTGCACAGGCACTGATGACGACGCGATTTCTAGGTCGACATGGTCGATGACGAGGAACTGCTCGAGCTTGTCGAGATGGAAATCCGTGAGCTCCTCGACGTCTATGACTTCCCTGGCGACGACATCCCGATCGTCCGTGGTTCGGCCCTCGCTGCCGTTGAAGGCCGTGACCACAACCTCGGCCGTGACGCTGTCCTTGAGCTCATGAACCAGGTCGACGAGTACATCCCGGACCCGACGCGTGACTTTGAGAAGCCGTTCTTGCTCCCGGTCGAAGATGTGTTTTCGATCTCGGGCCGTGGTACGGTCGTGTCGGGCCGTGTCGAGACGGGTGTCATCAACACGGGTGACGAAGTCGAGCTTGTCGGTATCCGTGACGTGCCCACGAAGACGACGTGCACGGGTGTCGAGATGTTCCGCAAGTCGCTTGACCGCGGCCAGGCCGGCGACAACGTCGGTGTCCTCCTCCGTGGCTTGAAGCGCGACGACGTCTTGCGTGGCCAGGTGCTCTGCAAGCCCGGTTCGATCTCGCCCCACACCAAGGTCGAGGCCGGTGTGTACGTACTTAAGAAGGAAGAGGGTGGCCGCCACACGCCGTTCTTCACCAACTACCGCCCGCAGTTCTTCTTCCGCACGGCCGATATTACCGGCAACATTGTGCTCCCGGAAGGCACCGAGATGGTCATGCCCGGCGATAACCCGACGCTCCGCATCGAGCTCATCCACCCCGTCGCCATTGACGAAGGCATGAAGTTCTCGATCCGCGAAGGCGGCCGCACGATCGGCGCCGGCGTCGTCTCCAAGATCATCGAGTAAGCGGCGACTGCGTAATATAGGACCAATCTTAGGTGGGTTAACACGATGAATATGTCTCCTCACATCTCTGCAACATCATCTTGCTCCTGCTGATCATCATCATACGACATCCTTCTTCTATCCAAGCACCCATGCAATATCGCGGGTGACGCCGACGGTAGAGACAGTCGCAGATTGAAAGTGTATAGATAGACGCGCAGAACGACAAACTACCCACGGCGCGCTATTACAATATTTTAAACGTGTTTTTCTAACCTAATATGGGCGGCCGCTCTAATGCGAGTGCGCCCGGTGGGCCTCATAGAGGCCGATGCACTGCTCTATCGAGAGGTTCGTGTTGGCCTCGAGCGACGACGCACACGCGCACTTGCAGAGGTCTTCCGAGCCCATGCAGTCGCGCGCGACGCCTTCGTACAAGTCGAGCTTGCGCTGCAGCGTCGAGGGCGAGTTGGGCGACGAGAAGAACGCACACTCGGTGATCGTCGAGGTCCAGTCTTGATAAATAGCACGCTGGAACTGGTAGAAGAAGACGCGCGCTTCCGGCGACGAGCCAAGCGCGAGGTCGGCGACTTGCGCCGACAGCTTGGTCATAAACTCGCAGTACGTCATGTGCATGGCCTGGATCTCGAGGAAGACCTGCTGCTCCGCAGCCGTGTTGGGCTCCTTGAGGCCCACGAGCAGCTCCCGGACGTCTGATGCGATCTCCATACTTGGTGGCTTGTGGGTTCGTCGGTAAATGCAAGAGTCCTAGCCGTCGTCGCCATTCTCATTGGTGCGCCAAGTACAGTGTACCCGAGTAGCTGCGGGCCGACGTATATCAGTTCTGAGAGGTCGCAATACAATCCGTTGTGGCCACCAATTTTTATGGCCTTTTCACAACGTACACTGTCGATTTGTATGCGCATTTGGGAAAGGCAAAAAAGGATCCGAATAAAAGACACTTGGAATAAAACCACCTGCTCTTTTAATGCGCAATGCAAAAAAGACGGCGTGTCTTTTTTTCGTGTCCCGCTCTTTGTGCATGGGTGGCGTGCATTGTATCATTGGCGATTTGTATGAATAGACATTGTACGACGCGTCTCTTTTATTCGATTGGGTGCGGGTTTTTAATTGTAAAATCGAACGCACGTGGCACGCTTTTTAATATGCGCCCGCAATGTCGGCCACGATAAGATCTTGAAGTTGAGCGTGGCACTGCCTCTAGCCACGGCGACGACGACGGCAACTGCAGCACCCGTGTACTGTTTCAATGTGGCAACCCCTCTTGCATACTATCTCGCCGCGTCGTTCTCGCCCTCCTTCTATAATCTCCTTCGCAGCGCGTTGTCGATATATATATATATATATATATCGATGCACGAGCGCGCCACCGACGCAGCTTCAACTTGCAGACAGAAGCGCGGACGCTCGCCGATGGTGAAGGAATCGCTGATACGCGTCGCAAGAATTGCGTTGTGGAGCTGCTACGTGCGGGCTGCTAATGTCATAGAGCCGGGACCTGTCCATTGTGCAAGGGCTGCAACAACTCAGACGGCGGCGCCGCGACGTCCGATTTTTATGCACTATAAAAACGACGCGACAGCGAATCCAATTTGGTTGTGGGAAATTAAAATCATCAAAAGATTCTAGTAGCGATGATCAGAAGGCGCGATGATGATGTAGTCGGGCAGCAGCAGATCTTGCACAGCAGAAATCTGATCGACGAGTTGGCTTTGTGACAGCGCGCGCGTGCTCGACGGCCTGTCTCGGCCCTACATACTGTAGACCACGACGCGACCAAGTGGGTGCAAATATGGAGCGAGCACTTGGTTCTGCGATCCGTCGGCCGCGTTGGAGGCGGCGCTGTCGTGGAAAGGCTCCACTCTGAAGTGCACCAGCTGGCGCCAGCATATGCCACATGTGAAAGAAAAGCGGCCGCTCGGGATCTGGCTCGGGATTACACACGCAAGGAACACTACACGATCGACCAGATCGTACGGACCAACATGGGACGATCCATGGGTGGACCTGCATTTTCCGAGAAGCTGCAGCGCCCGTGATCGGGTTGAGCGCAGTGTAGTGGGTTGAGCCCGTGCACTTGCTATAGTACGAACGCACCGATGCCTCCTCGATCTCCAAGGCGACACGCACAAGCGTCAAATTGATCG